AACATGTCCCTCTTGTGCTGTTGCCCCAGAGCTAGATCAGGGCTGCAGGGAGGTTCTCCCTAGTGCACAGCAGAGGGGTAGAATCCCCTCCATGACCTGCTGCTCACGCTCTGGGGGTGCAGCCCAGCATACGGGGGTGGGGGGGGGTCCTGGGCTCAAGCACACACTGAAGCCAGGTCATGGGTAGTTTCTCATGGACCAACACCCCCAAGTCCTTCTCCTCGGGGATTGCTCTGAACCACTTCTCCACCCAACCTGTGCCTGGGATTGCCCTGACCCAGATGTTGCCACAAACCCATCCCTTACCTTTGCTAGTAGCCACAGGAGCAGCATCTAACCCCTGTAACATGCTGCGCAGCACTTGAGTTTTGATGGCGTGGCTGGCCCAGAGCTGCTGCAGGTGTGTGACGTTGAACTCCTGCACCTCCTGGTCGTAGAGCCACTGAAGGTTCTCAAACTCACAGTCATAGAGGACGAGGGGGAACTCGACTGCCATGCTGGGGAAGAGGAGGGAAGTGTTAGCTGTCACTGTCTGGAGGGATCGGTGACAGAAGAGGCTCACACAACACCCTGCCCTTTGCCAAAAGCAGCCCTGTCTTTTACAGAACTCCCTTTTCCTTTAAAAACTGAATTAGCTTGCACCAAATACCATGGACTAAAGCCATAAAGTTTGTCTGAGAGCAACAAAACTGAGATCCTTATGGATACCTCCTGGAGAGGCCGCTGGCAGCTTGCTTCCATATTGTGAGAGACTGCTCTGCAGGCTGTCGGGGAAGTGCCTTGCCAGCAGCACTTCACACACAGCCATTGCCTCGAGAAGCAGCCCAGCAAGTTTTCCCAAGCTTCCCATACCTATACTGTGGCTTTTGAGGGTTCTTCTCCACATCCAGCAGCTCGTCGATGACGTCCGGGCTCTCCATGCCCTGGCCGATGAGGAAGAGGATGGCCATCATGCAGCGTACTTGGTGATAGAGGAACGCCTGGCCCGTCACCTCGAACTGGCACAGATGGAAGGGATCCTGCGGGCCCGTTCCTCCTCCTCCTCCTTCAACCCACGTCACTCCAGCGCTCAGGATCGTCCTCTGGAAGTTCACCACCCCGTTGGCAACATCCATTTTGCAGAGGTTACGGAAGTCGTGCGTCCCCACGTACCTCTGGGCCGCAGCGTGCATGAGCCCCACGTCCAGGTTGGCACAGGGGAAGAAGTAGCGGTAGGTCCTCTTGAGGCAGCTGAACCTGGCGCTGAATTCGGGCTCCACGGGGGCCCAGGCCAGCACCCTGATGTCAGGTGGGAGCACCCTGTTCAGAATATGGGTGTAGCGGAGCTCCTCCTCGCTTTTTCCTCCTGAGGCACCTCCATGGCCGTTGAGCTTCTGACCCTCCAGCAGGTTGGAGCGGAGATCAAGGGAGATCACCTGCAAAACGAGGAATGCCAGGATGAGACGGCAGATGGGTGTATTCCGGGGAGCCAAGTCTTCCTACACCACTGTGAAATTAATTCAGGATCTTCTCCAGAGGAAGGTGTCTCAAATGGGGCCATCTCCCCACTCCTTCCTGCGGGAAGAGCTGCCTCTGCTCAGGTTCCCAGCAGATGCTACAGATTCCTTTAATAACACAGAGAAACTTGCAGGCTGCCTACGTAGCTCAAAACTGCTTCAACTTTAGGCCCTGGTTTTAGATATGATGTGCTTTTTTTATTTTATTATTTCACCTATTTTTTTTGGCTGGAGGTGATGGTTTAAGGCAGTAACAGCCTGGCTGCCTGGGAAACCTGCTGGAGGAGCAAGTTAATGAACACTGCAGGTGCCTGCATGCTTCAAACAGCACAAGGAAAGCCAGCTCCTGCTCTATTCCATGTGGTTCATCCCATGAAGGAGGGCAGGCAGCCCATCTGAAGCAAAACCTAAGCTGGCTCCAATTCCCAAGCCAGGAGGGAAGGAGAGACTGGCCCGGCAGCGAAGCCATCGCTTCCCTCCCTCCTGCTCCCACGCTCCCTTCCGCTCCAGCTCCCGCCAGACCCTTCTGCGCAGGAATTGGGCTGCCTGACTCCACAGGAAGAGATCCAATTCCTGGATTCTAATTCATTTTTTGTTAGGGTGAGCCAGTTAAATCAGCTGCCAGGGAAGGGGCACCTCCCCTTTTCTGGCTGTTGGGAAGCTGCAGCCTAAAAAACATGTTTCATCCTCGCAAAACAGCCCCCTGGGAAAAAAATAGTGCTAATAAACACTCTGAGGGTTAAAATTCACCATCCCATGTGTAGGGAGCCAGCACTAGGCTCAATTTTAGGCTTAAAAGCTGATGGCTTTAAAGAAAACCAAATCCAACCCATGTCTTGGCTTATCACAGTGTGACATTAATCCCACAGGAGCCCAGAAACCCAGGAAAGCCCCAGGGCGGGGAGGGGGTGTGTGTGTGGATCCTGACCTGTCCAAATGCACTGACTCCTTTGTCTGTCCGCCCGCAGCGGTGGTAGTTGGATGTCTGCCTGTCATCTACCAGCCGTGTCTTCTTCAAGGCTTCAAAGAGCTTCTCCTCAATGGTGTTGGTGGTGTTCTCCTGGCTGGCAAAGCCCTGGTAGCCCCAGCCCAGGTAGGAGATCTTCAGCGCCACGTGTCTGCGGCCATAGGCTCCGAAATCGAATGGCCGTTGTTGGCGTTTCTTGCCCTTCCCGGGGGCCGATGGAGCCTCTGGTCTCCCAGCGCCCTTCTCATCCTCTTGCAGCTTCTCCCGCAGCCTCCTCACCTCCTCTTCAAGCTCCTGCACCCTTCTCAGGAGTTGCTCCTGATCAGCAGCCACGCTTCCCTCGGCCATAGTCCTGGAGCCTTCGGTAGCTGCCGGGGGCGCCTGGAGTTCTGCAAAGGAGGAAATCACATTTTTATGTGGCTTTATCACATCCGTAGCTTTGCTCTGTGAAATAATCATTACTCATGGAACAATTTATTGTTTTAACTTCTCAGCGTTCGATTGGATCCGGCATTCCCAGCTGGCTTCGTGCTATCCACACCGTGGTGGAGCCTTTTCCATTCCCCACCACGCTGAGCCAGCAGCACCACACCAGACAGCTCGCTAACACCTGCCACTCATCTCACCACACCATCTGCTCCAGCGTTTCATAACAGCACGCTTCAAACTGGAGTTTTCCTTCTCCCTTTTCCAAACCAGTCATCCTAAACCTGTGTCACGACTGGAAACTGTCTCCAGATCCCTTTTCACCACAGCTCCTGAGGAATAACATAATCACACTCTGCCTTTGGGCTGCAATGAGCCTTTTCCTCTGTGGAAGTAAAATCCTCTTGGCCATCCCTAGATTAAATCATGACTCAATTCCATGTTTTTAAGAGCAGGTACAAGGGGAAAATCTGTGACACAGCAAACTGAATCTACCCCGTGCTAATCCATCATTCTGTTAGTACTTTATATATCACTGAATTAATTTCAGTGCTGTCTCCAAGCTGGAATTGGGGGATTTCCTTGTGGATGGGGGGCTTGTATCTGTGCTGCTGTAGGTGAAGAGCCTTCTGCAGGCAGTGAGAGGTTTAGCCGTTGCGGGTGCAGGGCAA